CACACACACACACACACACACACACACACACACACACACACACACACACACAGACAGCCTGAAAAGAGTTCAAGCTGAATAATTTGCTTTTACGGATACATTTTGAACAGACACTGCCTTAGTTAATAAAATTATAGCAAATTAAATAGAATAAAGTCCTTCTCATACAATATAAAATTTAAAAAATTAAACACAATAGCTAAGTTGTTTAAGTTAAAGTCCTGCATTTAAAATCCAGCTAAAGTATAAGTATCATTAGTATAATGTGTTTGATGTATCACAGATTAATGTCCTCATCCTACAGAAAAAATGACCCTTGTGGCTCAAGCAGCACTTGGCTCTTGTAGCTGGTTGAGGTGGAACAAGTTGTATCCATACTGTTCAATATTTAAAGCCCTAAACCAAAGATATTTGGGGCAATTTGTTTTGCAATCTTTAACAATGTTCTAATGTTAAAGCTTAATCTAAATACTGTAGTACAACTGCTGAATAAATGCAGTGGAGTGTTACGTTCAGTAATTCCCACTGGAATGTGTGCAAGTTGACAAATGGTAAAGTAGCACAAAAAGGAATTATTTAATCAAAGTGGTGTGTTCGATTGAATGTACTCTATACCTACCACTGGTGATGTTGTACTCTAATCTCCTCTTTAAACTGTGATGAGGTTGTTTAGCTGCAGGTTAATGACGGGGCAGAGACAGGACAACACACTGAAACAAGCGTGTGTCAGGATTTTTTAAAGACGTGTGTATCGAGCCAGTACAGTAGACAAACAGGCTAATATTATTATGAATTAATATTCACATTCATACAGTTCTTTGCATCTTCAAAAGAAACCTGAATTGTCCCCTGCACTAGAGATGACAGATCTAACGTGCACACTTATCTAGTACAATAGACCAACACAAAAAAAGGGACAGGTAGTATATTCTATACCACTCTACAACTACACACAAGTCCAGTATTGTCATATAGGGAGCAGTGTTGTCCAGTGTCAAGCAGGCTCTATAATGAGAGAGGTGCGTCCCTCTATTTATCTGAAGAGCGTCTTTGAGATTGCATCTGGACTTTCAAATAGCTCCCATCATATGCAATTATATCGATGTATAAGATCACAAGGTAGGATGGGATTTTTTTTAGATAAGGTTAACCTTGTTTTCTTTCTATGCTGCATTGTGGCAACTTTCACATTTGTCCTCTTTCCCTTCCTGCTGCACCCGTGATGGGAAAATCAGCAGAAAGGTGACCTCACTTTGTCTGACTATGATAACAGTTTAGAGATTCCTCATTACATCCATCTTGAGTGGACATTCACTTCACAATGAGAGTCTCTCTATGATGAGTCTCTAATTTGAACATTTAAAGATTTAACCTTGTGAAACCATATGTAATTAGAGTCTACTTCAAATGCCATTATATGTGACATTGGGGAGTTAGCTACAGGCACAATATAAACCAAATTACTCCACTACAGATCAATATTCAGTATGCACCAGTAAAATGTTGTGACCCTCCATCTATACTGCTGAATGCTACATTACTCACAGGATATGGTGTTTTATAGGTTTCTTTTTTGCCTGAGGTTGAGCTGAATGCTTCAGTAGTCTGATGTTTCATTTTCAGGAACACCAATTTGCAAAAAGGTCCAATAATTCTTAGTGAAAATGGGTTAAAAAAACCCCCATTGTGAGGTATTTCCCCTAATGAGCCAGACCTGGAAGAGTTTTTTAAATGTTGCCATAACTGCGTGTCTCTCTCTATGGGACACAGATCTATCTTACCTATTCAAGTGTGTCTGCAAAGCAGCCCAACAGAATGAATTATTCAAATGTTGTTTTAATTCTACATCTTGGACACAGATCATTTGCTGGTGAGGATGATGACTTTTTGCTGACTTTTAGTCTTTTGGCATCAAGTGCATTTTCAAAACATCTATAAAACCATCTGTCGGTGACACCAACGCTTTAGCCAAGAAAATATATGGTTGCCAGCTAGAAGGGTGAATCTACTTCCTTATTCCTCTGGAATTAAGAACTAATTCTTCCAAACACAATGAAAGAGTTTTCAGTGGTTAATCTGGTCTGTGCAAGAATGGAGAGCTCAAAAGACATAGCAACGGTAACTAAGGGGAGTGGAGGCTTAGCTAACAGTTAATTAATACCAAATAAACTAATCCATTGTGGTGCAGGGAGCCAGCAGAGGTTTTCTTTACGGTTTGAATGAGAGGAATTTCAAAGAAGTTTACTCAGAGGTTGTGGATGATAGATAAATGCTTTGAGACCATAGCGTAGCAGTAGAAGTGGAGACCATGACAATGGATGGAACTCAGAGGATCAGTGGCAGAGGTGAACAGTCTTTAAAGCTTTCTAGCCTAATTCTCACCTGACTCTTGACAAATATTGTGTCAGACTGTTCTTAAAAAAAAAATCTATACAAATGTTTACTTGGTGTATAAATTATTACATAAATGAAGTGAGAAGTAGGGTCATTTTCTCATGGACTCCTATAGAAACAGATCTCTTTGTGCAACCAACCACTTTGATGGACGATGCGTCTCTACTTCCTCCCACTATCCAGAAATCAAACTAAAATATCCAACATACAGTCGCTGCCATCTTGTGCATTTAGAGCCAGATTCCGTGCGATTAGGGGATGGAGCCATGGTAGTGAGGTCCCACCAATATATCTGTGCTCGACCAATCACAGATCAGTCTCAGCTGTCAATCTTGATGTTTCACTCTGTGTTTATAGCATCAAATAACTAATTAAAACCAAAGTTACTGGACATTTTTTAACGTGTATCTCTAATTTGTTAAGATCGAGGCAGGCTTTAAAATTGATTGTACTTTAGCCAACCACCAGCGGGCGATATTATCATTATGTTACATTATTATTAAAGGCCATATTTGCAACCAGTGGAGTCTCCCTCTGATGACCATTGGACAGAATACAGGTTTCAAGGCACTTCCATGTTAGCTTCACTTTGCAGAGTCTATGGAATCATTGCAATAACTGTGTGAGCTCATTTCACATGGTCAGGTTCAGTCTTTGTTTAGCCAGCAGACGTTTGTTGAAGGTTTTCCTCACTTCCTGATTAAACCTTTGATGTGTAAATAAGAAATGATAATTACCCTGACCTTTGAGACTCGGTTCAACTGTCTACTGAGAAAGTTTGACACTTGCAATTTAAATGCACCACCACGCCACACCGATATCATTATTAATGAGCTTAAGTGCTTGACTAGCCTCATTAATCCTTAGTTCAAATACTAATTTGACATTTCCACATGCATATTAAAACTGTTTAATTCCATGCATGTGAATAAAGAGAAAAACAGTAGTGGCACTGAAGACACTCACACATAAACCACTTACACTTGAATTTAAGGTCCCCCTGGCTTCTTGTCTGCTTCTCTCTGCTTCGTCAGTGCAGAGGATCCGCTGAATGGGAACATTGTGAAAGGTCATTTTAAAATGGGTGCTCCTGATTGAGAAGACCTTATATAAAAGGAAGAACCTATAGAATAGGTCAAGAGCTGCTGTTTCTTTCCATCTCTGAATAAAAAGCACAAAATGCACATGATTAGGTTCTGCACAGTCATTGAGTGTCGACCACTTGTTTGTATTTCTGAGGATTAGCATGTGGTTTTTTTGTGTGTGCAAGTACTGAACGTATTTTTCATATTTGATTCGATTCTTGTTTAGACAGTTGTGTTTAATGATGCAGTGTAGCAAAGGATGATAATGATTACATTAAATTATCCGAACATTTAATTTTGGCCAGCTGTTAAAAATATCAAACTAATGTAAGACAGTTTTAATTGGTGTTGGATCTTTATTTAGACAATGTTAAAAGTTTTACACCATTTAATTCTCACAGTTGCTCAGACCTGAAGTTTGGTACATACACTTCATTCTCTGTAGGTGCTCACACTTTACATTTTTCACTTGCTATGTTTTCAACATACATATAAGTCAGTCAACAATCACACAGTCAAGTTTTTACATTTGGTAAAATTAGCCTACAGGTGCCCATAGGTCTATTCAGATGCTACTGACACTCAAGATAGGCATGGCAAGGTAATTTAATTTATTAAGCACATCAATTCATACACAGACGATAACTTTATTGAAGGCCAATAATTCAATAATAAACAGATTCAGCCTTTCAAAACATTAACATAAATGGTAAACTGCAGATGGGAAAGTAGAGACAAAGCAATTATCTATGACTTACTGCCCATCAAAAATTGAACATGAGTGCAAAATGAATTACAATAGTCATCACAGGCTTTGAGATATTCTGAGAAGGGATCATTCTAGGAAAACAAGAGACACGTGATATTTTGTATTTCTCTAAAAGTCTATTTTTTTCTCTTCTCTCTGATCTGGTTGTGAGAGCAGCAGTTTTTGTATTGAAGTACATATCAGGCTAATGGTAGCATGCTGCTGAAAAACAACTGCATTTAGACCAAATTTACTTATGCTTCATCATCATTATAACTGGTCATGCATTAGAAATAACTATCTGTTATTTCTTATAAATCTCAATAGGAAGATTAGCACAGCTAATAAACAGTGATGTGAATCATCATATGGTAGCAGTAGGTATTTTCTGGATTATTATAGTCTGTGCCTCACATCTCACACTGTACCGTTACACATCTGCTCTAAATGGTATTTTAACGATACGCTGCTCTTCATTTTTCATTCGGGGCACTATAGTTTTAATTAGCCCTTTGCTGCTTTGACAGAGATGAATTGCTGGCACACTTACTATACATGTATTTTCTGTTTCGGTCTTGGTCCTGTGAAACTGATCTGTGTCACAGACTGGGGGCAAACAGATCTCTGGCCCTCAGAGCAGCCATGTGTCCATATAGGGCATGGTACACATCCAAAGGACAAACCATCTGCAGTTCTGGAGTCATCTAAGTACACATTTGAAATTGATGATATAGTAATTCAGGAATGAAAACTGGCAGAGCGGGCTGACCTGTAGTTTACTTGCTGCTACTGTAATGGCTGTGATCATTGCTGTTGCACCATGAAGCTATATCCATTCTTGTTGTTGTAAGAATCGTCTTTTAAACTGCCAGGTTATATCACAATATCCTGAATTTTACTCTGTCAGATGTTTCCAAATTTAGGTGAGGAGTTAGTTAGGTGAGGGGGCACGGTGCCTCACAGCAAAAAGATTCCCAGTTCTCCAACTTCCTGTCGCAGTCTAAAGACATGCAGATTGGGGTTAAGGGGCTGGACGGACATTTAAGTCTGGACCATACAGACTCGGACTCTCTCCCTAAATTCATCATATACACCATTATTGATTATTTTCTATGATTTATAAAACTTTCTCTGCGAGAATAAAATGTTGATTAATGACATGTTTTTGTTCTTCCATTTGTCTCACAGGTTAGGATTCCCCATGATGATAATGACGTGTATGATTGGCATGTGCTACCTGCTGGCTACTCACATCGGACTTGGATGGAACATGTAATCCACACCTGTTGTACATAACCAAACAGACTGTGAATGTTCACAGGCGGCCTTAGGCATCCTGGGGCCTCACCCCCATAAAACAACAGAGAAAACAATGCAAGGATTCTAGTTGGTTCTCATGGTGTGTTTTCAGATTTAAATGCATTATGTTCAGAATCATGGACAGCTCAACATAAGCTAGAAATGATCAGAACATTCCCCTTAAAGTATTTAACCTAAAAATCACAGAATCAAAATAATTTGGATGGTTTGTCATAGGGAGTCTGGTGCTTCTTTCATTCTCACTCTGCCCCCTGAACGCCTCCTCCTGCACTATATGTAACTTTAGTTAGTGGACACGATCTCCAACGAGAAGCAACAGAAGCTTAAACTGACGGAATCAGGCCAAGTGTGTTCAAGAGTAATGTCAAACTATAGATCAGTTATATAGAGAAGTCATTGAAAACCAGCGTTCATCTCTGAGGACAGTTCTACAGTTTTGCATGTTTGTTATGAGGAATATACAAAGTTTGGCACTATTTCTGTTCAGGGAGCGGTAGGGGTGGGAATCTCCAGGCACCTCTGATTCGATTCAGAGGGAGCTACGATTTGATGATAAAATGATTATCAATCCATCAAAGAATTTTATTACTATACATGATTTAATTTTTTATCACTGTGCACTAATAGAAGTACTAAAAGTATTTTTAGTAAAAGTATTTTTAGTAAACACTGTTTTTGTTATTACAAGTGTGCTTACAAAATAAGCTTTTCAATTCAAAAATCAGACGGCAACAGTCTATAACAGGTCAGAGCTCTCCACATTGATTTGACATTCATTCAGTTTTGACTTTTGTGCTGCATCTTTAGCCTGTACTGTATCTGGGTGGTCCCGCCTGGCAGCACCAGGTGACAAACTGATAACCACATGTATTTAGTTATTATTCGTTGATGTCAGAACATGAATCCGGATCGTTCTGGTCACTTTAACCCTGATGTCCTTGCTGTGTGCATTTCGTGTTGTGTATAGCAGATGAACAACGCTACATCTTTCCACCTCTAGTGAGTGGTCAAGCGATTGACAGGCATCTGCTCATGAAAAAGTACCTAACAGCTCAGATAAAGAGGCAAAGAGAATTATTCACCTCAGTTAAAGTAACACAGTGTTGCTTTAGTTGTGGGTTTTTCTAACAGAAAAAAAATGGAATGAGGAGAAGCCTCTCTCTTCTCTGGAGCGTCTATTCTGTATTGAATAATACTATTACAAAAAATTAACCAAAAAACTACTCACTCAAATGAAATGTACCAGGAAAGCAACAGTGCGGTAAAATAAGCCCCTCACAGCCGCCTCAGTCCACTGGGCCCTGTCACCACATGAACGGAACAATAGAACAATACAGTGAATCCTTTCTGTCTGTCACAGTATCAGGTTGGGTACAGTCTAGTTATGGCAAGATCAGTTAACAGTTAATAATTGTATTCAAGTTCTTTCCCCAATATATCATTGTATCTAAGTTATAGTTAGCCATTAGATATTATTCATAACCAGAATAGTTTACTCATTGCACTATATTGGGGTTTCAAATCACCAACAGGGTATTTGACTTGTTCAAAATAAGATAGAGAACAATAGGCTACAAAACAGTCACAAATACAAAACATTCCATTTCATGAATAAAAATACAGGCTACAATAAAAACATGTTTATTGGTATTTTAACATGAAATGAAACAGAGAGATTGATGAGTATGAATCAGACCTCTCTAATCGTAAAGACAGTAATTAACAGGAGGAATACACTACAGATGAAGGGGGACACCTCAGTAATGTTGGCATCAGAAGAGAGAGAATCCACCGTGCACCTCACAGCTTCAGTGTCAGGTGAGGGGGAACCCAGAGTGTGTCCATGGTAGTGTCAGAGAACAATAGCCAGTGTGCCTTCAATAACTCCAGCAGTTTAAGTAAATGTACTTATTTATTAAATGTTATTGTCTGTTTGAAATGATATCCTCACTATGGCTCTTTGGAGGATGGGACCTGTGGTGTGTGCTCATGTGAACACGTGGCCGACACCTCCATGCGTTTCAAGTTCACTGCTCGCTGTGATTAGATGTGTAGCCTGATTGAGTGTTCAGATTACAGGCACTATTTGAAGCATTGTAGCCATATTATATTTTTAACTTAAATGGGTGTCTGAGTAAAGTGCAGACCATCAGGGACCAGACTTACCGGAGCTTAGACCAAAAAAAGTGTCTTTACTGACAAAAATGGCTCAAACAATCCACAATGCTGAACATGGTGCTACTGCCTCAGTGGGTACAACTGGTGTAAGTGATTCCAGTCCAGTCGCCTCTGCTGTCACACTCTTTGTCATTTTCTAAATTCATGTGCCCTGTTTACAACAGCAGCAAATGATCTCTGTAGACTAGTATCACACTGATTTTCTCTTAGAGACGTAGAACACTGGTCATGATTTATTCACCCTCAGTTCACCATATGTATTATGTTGATATTTTAAAGGAACCACAAGACCCACTGAAAGGGATTTTATATCTGTTTGTGTCAAATATTTCTTTGTTGGATTCAGAAATCTCAGCGGTCTGTAACTGAGTCTGAAAAACCAAAATCAATGACATTTGACAGATAATTTAATTACAGATGAAATAACAAAGGTGTAGATCTAAACTCTGTATACTATATTGTACTGTGTACACAATGATCTCATGTAACCTCCTTGATTTAGTTCAGTAAACTATAAAGCAGTTTAATCATGTAAATAGCGTCACATGAAACAGGCAACAACTTTGTAGCCCTTCCAGTTAAACTATTTATGGCACTGCCCAGTCTGAATGTCCTGGAAACTTTCAGAATGTTCAGACAAAGATCAACATGAATAAAGTTTGTGATGTTTCTGGATTTGATTTGGCTGTGAATGAATTTGTTTGATTCTTATAAGAAGTGATACTTAGCCTGAAGGAACAGTTGCTAAGTCCTTTGGGGATTTTGGGTCTTCAGTCTGAGAAGATTACCATCAGGGCTGTGATGATGTCGTCAGGGTTCTGATGATGTCATCAGGGTTTTCTCAGATTGAAAACTTAAAATTTGCTTTTCAATGAGGGGAATTGAAATTTAAAAGAAGTAGGAATTTACCTTAGACTTTATTTGAAGATAGATAACATGACTGAACCCACAAAGGGAAGCCAAAGTGTCCTGATTTCCCCTTGTGGTAGGCTGAGGTATAGGTCATAAACCCTGCCTCTTCAATTTTAATTGATGGGACATGGGACAAACTTAAATTAAAAGTACACGTTAAATAATATTTTTAAAAATATGGTTGGTTTTCTTTTAGGTACTTCTTCTTACACAGCTAACACTCAGTGTGAGACGCATTTGTTTCTGGGTTATTTTAGTGTAATTTCTGGATAGTAGGTGGAAGTGGAGACTTGTCCATCTTTATTTAAAGTTTATGGTATTTACTATGTAGTATCCGATGAAGAAGTAGCTAATGGAGATGGTGTTACGGTGCAGCACCTTCTGGTGCTAAAAGCACCTGTTCAGCATCACATTTTAAGCAGGTATTTTGTGTGTTTTCACAAACAATGGCTCACTTGACTCACATGTCCATGACACAACCCCAGGAAGTTACTCTGCTTGGCATATTATCGACATCCATTGTCATTCACTTCTGTTGTGGATGTGTTTCCGTTGACTTCCATTTGTGATTTCCATTGGGCTGGGCTTGAGTAAGAGGTCTCAGCCACCATGAATGGATGTAGCATCGGGTTTAGATCTTTCAACCACAGCGACAAATGTACAGCTTATCAGAATCAATACTGCAGATGATTAATTCCACTGAAACCTGTTGTGTTTAAGACCTGTGACTCTCACATTCTTCTCAACTTGATATTAGAGAAACCTGCTGTTATCTTGCCTGGTCTTTACTAACACTCATTAGTGCTCTGTCCAGCCACACGTTTTCACTTTAGATTCATTCTCCACATCCACAAAGTGTGAAAAAGATCAGAAAGACACCAGATGTGTAGCAGGTCAGGTCATTAGGTAAAACTGCAACACTATTATAGAAAAATGTTTGGTGATACAGCATCTACATGAACTAAGCTGTGTTTTACACTGTTACACTCTTGTTCTCCTGTAGCTCTACCATTAACATTTATTGGCAGCAGCTGAGAGTAAAAGTGACTTTCATGTTGCCTTTAATGAGACAGACTAGGCCAAATAGAACCACACTCCACAGATTGATGTCTGCACCTCCTATAGGTCCGATGTTTTACATTAAAACTCCCGGGAGGCACAAAGTTGTTGGGAATTGGGAATCTGTTTGTGTCGTGCACTTTGTTGCCATTAGAGAGCTGTGGTCTGGATCACAGTGTTCATTAGCACCTAATTAATTAAAGACAACTCCACAGTGTTATACATCATTAATGCATTGTATGTGCTCCAGGAGTTAAGGTAGTTTATGGCTTCAGGCTGAAACCCTGTAGTAGTAATTTAGAAAAGCTATTGATACCATATGTCCTAAAACAAACATTGGGTATACACTATGTATCTTTACTGTCAGACTTCGCATATTTGTTAAACCTGAATTTATTCATATTTTCATTTTATGTTGTTAATTACTTTTTTTTCTATGATTGAAACCTGATTGTTTACATGTTTATTTGCAGTAATTACACCACATCCAGCTCTGTCTACTCTCCTGTTCCCCTCTTCTAAGCTGTACCTCACACTTTGAAAACCTTTGTTGTAGAATTAATCATTTCTCAATTTCTACTTGGAAACTGCACCTATGCTGGAAAAAACTTCTGAAATGTTGGAAGTTGAGTTTCGAGAGGGTGACTTTTATTTCAAAACTTCACATACAACCACCTGCACTCCTGTTATAGTCAGTTACCTCTGAGCTGAGTTTACAACACTCATTTTTAAGAGATCTTTAAATATTTCGATATTTAAAAGCTTGCAAAGCACATGATTTGTTGTAGTGTTGTCCCACAGCTCTGGTGCTGCTCTTTATTATAATACACATAAAAACAGGATTACTATTTTAGTGTCATATACTGACGATCAGTGCTCAATGACAACTTGTAATGCCCTAGTTGAAATGAAAAGAAAGTGGTAAGATAACTGGTCATGCACATAATTAGTCCAGAGCAGGGTGTCTGTATAGAACTGATCATGTTGTATTTGAGAGAGAGAGAGAGAGAGAATGCCTTTATTGTCATTGAACAGGGTGTACAATGAAATTATAGAGTGAGCTTCGTCTACATGTGACACTATTGCTTCTCTGACCATATGAACTAATTAATTATACGGCTTCAATGAGAATCCATTCGATTTCCTCTAAGAAGCCTCCTCTATCCACGACTAATGCTCCCATTCATCAGGAAGGGATTAAACATGTTCTGCCCTCTGTAATTAAGAAGTGGAGTGAGGGAGCTTAAGAGGATTCACTTTAAAGGCTATTAAAAAAACCTGGATGAATCTTCTTACAAGTGATACAATAAGGGCTGAAATAAACATTTTCTTCATCCAGACATAAGCCGTTTTCAGATATGACCTTCGGGTAAAATTCGGAGAATTGCTCCGGAGTTTCCCTTCACTTTGCCTTTCACACATGCACAACACATCTGTCAGCTCTTATTGCCACAAACTTTCCGTCTGTGTCCTCTGTGTGTGCATCACAGCTTTTACATCTGGAGAAATTTGTTTTCTTTTTGGTTTTTTTCATGTTTGCGTCAGTCACACCTAAGAAGCGTGATCAACCCCCCCACTTGCTCATGGTGAATCCAGGTCGATCCCCTGCTGTTTTCTAAAATAAGATTCTAATGAATTTCTACTGAGAAACGGAGTATCTGCGGAGTTCAGTGCATGTCTGAAGCAGCTTCAGAGGGCATACCTCACAGAAGGTAATGACAGTGTATTAAGGAAAACCATATGAACAAGGACTTTGGTTTGTAACAGTGTCACTAGATCGACAGTTGCTGATTATTAGAAGGCTGTAGACATCAAAAATGCCGTTTACAGGGTAAGAAAACAAAAGCAAACTTCTGGTTTGAAAACAAGGTATGAAAGTCAACAAATACATCATTATACTTGACAGTGCATGGATGATAATGTTCACTAAATAGAAGGCAGAGATTCCACAGATGCACAGTGCTTTGCTGAACAAGCTGCACAGTGATTCATCACGCTGCTGTGAGGACTGCAGTTTATTATTAGTAAAGCACAAAACCTTCGCAGGTCTCAGTGGAACACACAACAAGCATTTGATTGTTTTGAGTTAGAAATTGTAAATCAGAAATTGTAAATAATTGTGTATGGTCGTGATCAGTTGTCATGTTTTTTACAAGGTCAGATTCAAGTCTTTGAACAAGAGTGTGCAGCCACACTGCTTTGAGCTGATGCTAATGTGAAATTAACAATACTAACTGCTGATGTTCAATATTTAAAGGTTCAGTGTGTAGATTTTAGTGACGTCTAGTGGTGAAGTTTCATGTTGCCACTAAATACCCCTCACCAAAGTATTTAAATATACAGGGTCCATTGTAGGGTGAAGAAAACAACAATTTAGATGAAACACACTAGTGAAAACATCACTAGGATTATTTCATATTAAATTTCTGCCAATAGATCCCTTTCACCTAAATCGTACACATTCGACCTTTAAGTATTTAAATCTAACCATCTTATTTTAGCATGTTATAATGCTAAATGGTGCTAATTAGTACTAAATGCAAAGATTTTAACTTTTAACTAAAGTTTTGGACAAAGGGATAATGCAAAAAGGAAATTCAGGCCATGTCGTGGACCTGCTCTGTTATCGACTGGTATCAAGAATTAGTGTTGGACTCATTTTTGAATTTATAGACTGTTGTGGCAATTCTGCGATGCCACTTTCTTTGAGTTGTTTTTTTTTGTCTATATGATTTCTCAAAAATGGCTGCCTGCTGCTGCTGAAGTGAAAGAAACAGAAGTAAAGAGTGAGCTGAAAGATGCTGCTAATTATCTGTGGCTTTGTGATTATGAACAATATCCTTCACATTACAGTCATTTCAGTCAATTGATCCATCCAGTGTTGATGAAAATATTGATTGCTGCAACTCTAAAGTTGTGCTGTCGTGTGTTGTATTATCTGGCATTAGGCCAGTGTGAAGATTAGTATTTGTGTTGAGCTACATGAGATTTAAATTAAAAAGAAACACAAACAAGATAAGTAGCACAATATCACTCCCATGCTGTGTGCAGCTTTGCTTTCGTTGTTGGAGACTAAAATTCTGCAAGTTGGTGCGAAAATAATTGAATTTCATCAGCAGAGTTTATTGGGTTTGTGAATGTGTTCCACACAGCAGATTGCTGGTGTGCAACAGGTTCATTAAAATTACATTTTATTTGATCGATTATTACCTCATAGACAGACGAGAACTGTTTTATAGTGCTGAAATTACAACTGGATTTGTGGAAAGACACAAAATTGTTTGATTTTAAATTTAAATTTTAACTTTTGCTTGATGCGGCAGAGTAATCAGAACACACATTTGATAAGTAATTTTTGATGCTTTAAACCTTTCCTTTGTTTCAATAAGGTGCTAAACATCAGAATACCAATAAGACAATTATACAATATTATAATCAAATATCCATTGCTTTCTCATTAGGTTTAACAGCGCAGCTTAATGCAGGGAGTTTTCTTAATTGCCAGTCACGGATGAATAAATGTTTGTTCACTGTGATACATTGCTTGTTTTATTTTGAAGGCTCAAAGTTGACTTCCATTGTATAGTGAATATAATAGAAGATATAAAATGACTTTAGAATTCATGGTGTATTTGAAGATGCTAACAATGACGACAATACATGGAATGTTCGGGAATAAAACATCTAAAATCACTG